TCCTACTTCCGTAGTGATACTGCCTCGGAAACCCAAGGAGGGGTCGCTATGAGTCGGGGCCGACTCGACGGGAAACAACAACAACAACAACATAGATTGCTTTGGGTAGTATTGTAATTTTTACAATATTAAGCCATCCTATCCATGAGCATGGTATGTTCTTCCATGTATGTAGATTGCTTTTAGTTTCTTGTAGTAGTGTTTTGTAGTTTCTTTGTATAGGGTTTTGTGTTTTTGGTTAGATTTACTCCTAAGTACTTCATCTTTAGGATGGCTATTATAAACATTATTGCTTTTCTGATTTCCTTTTCAGAGTTCTCTTTGTTAAATGCAGTCGAATTCAACTGATTTTTCTATGTTGATCTTGTAACCCACCACTTTGCTGAATCCTTCTATTACTTCCAATTGTTTTCTTGTTTAGTCTTCAGAATTTTCTATTATATAGGATCATATCATCTGCAAATAGAGTTTTATTTATTATTTGCCAATTTGGATGTTTTTTATTTCCCTTTCTTGCTTTATTACTCTTGCTAGGGCTCCCAGTACAATATTGAATAGGACTGGTGATAAAGGGCATCCTTGTCTGGTTCCCATTCACAAGGGGAATGTTTTTAGTCTTTCTCCTTTGAAAATAATATTGGCTATTGATTTTGTGTATATGCCCTTAATTATATTGAGGAATTTCCCTTCTATTTCTATTTTGCTGAGTGCTTTTTTTTTAAATCTAGAATGAGTATTGTATTCTGTCAAATGCTTTTTCTGCGTGAATTGTTATGATCATGTGGTCCTTTGTTTTTTCATTTATGGTGGCGGATTGCATTGAGTTTTTCTAATGTTGAACCATCCTTACATACCTCATATGAATCCCAGTTGGTCATGATGTATAGCCAATACTAGCCAATAGTATGGCTAAACACTAGTCATACTATTGACTAGTATTTTGTTGAGAATTTTTGTGTTGATGTTCATGAGAGATATTGGTCTGTAGTTTTCTTTTTTAGTGATTTTTTGTTTAGTGTTGTTTCAGTATCAGGGTTATGCTTGTGTCATAGAGTGAATTCAGTAGCACTCCATCCTTTTCTATGTTCTGGAATGCATTGAATAGTATTGGTGTCAGCTTTTCTTTGAATGTTTGGTAGAATTTGACAATGAAGACATCTAGGCTAAGGCTTTTTTGGTTGGGAGTTTTTTTTTTTTTTTTTTTTTCTCTCATTTTTATTGTGATTTGGGTGAAAGTTTACAGAGCAAATTCATTTTGCATACAGTATTTCAAACACATTTTTGTTTCAGACATTGACTGCAATTCCCCACAATATAAAAGCTCTCTTCCTCCTTCCTCCCTATAGTTTCCTTGTCTCTGTGTCCTTCCCTCCCATGCATTCTTGCCCCCTGAGCTATCTCCCTGTGCAA